TATTGCTCCTGTAAGCTTCCTCATGCTCCTTTGTAATCCCACCCTCCTGTCCCTTTATCTTCCCTACCCTCCCAAGCAAACACCAGTCTGCTTTCTTTCACTGGGTGTTAGTTTGCGTTTTCTAAACATGGAATCACACAAGATGTACTCTTCTTTGGTTTCGTTTCTTTCTCTTGGCATACTTATTTTGAGACTCATCCATGTTGTTAAGCATATCCTTAGTCTATTCTTTATTACTGAGTAGTAACATATTATATGGATATACCGCAATTTGATTATTCAATCGCTTCTCGACATATGGGTTGTTTCTAGTTATTACAAATAAAACTATCCCGAGTATTGGCATGCAAGTCTTTTTTTAAGCATTCTCTATACCCAAAGTTGGGCTCAAACTCAAAACCCTGAGACCAAGAGTCAGATGCTCATCTGACCGAAGCCGCATCTGCCCCTGTGTGCAAGCCTTTATATGGATACGTGCTTTCATTTCTCTTAACTATCTAGGGATGGAATCCCTGGTTATCACTAGGTGTATATTTAAACTTCTAAGATACTGACAAACTGTTTTCCAAAGCGGTTGTACCCGTTCACCTTCCCACCAGTAGTGGGTGAGAGTTGCGGTCTTTCCACATTCTTGCCAATGTTTGGTATGGTCAGTCTTTTTCATTGTAGCCATTCTACTGGGTACGATGAAACACCTGTTTCAGTCTTTTGTTCATCTCTCTTTTTATTTTCTTACTGTTGAGATTTGAGAGAGATACATTTATATAATTGAAATATATATACACGTTTGAGATATGTATACACTGGCTCAGAAGAAAGGAAATCCTGCCATTTGCAACACCGTGGATGAAACTTAAGGGCATTATGCTGGGTGAAGTAAGTCAGATGGAGAAAGACAAATACTGTATGGTATCACTTATATGGAGAATCTTAAACGGCCAAGTTTATACAAGCAGAGTAGAGTGGTGGTGGCCAGGAGCTGCGGGAGGGAGAAATGGGGAGATTCAGGTCAAAGGGTACGAACTTCCAGTTACAAGATCGAGTAAGTTCTGAGGATTTAATGTATTATAGCTAATAGTAGTATATTATAGACTCGAAAGTTGCTAAGATCTTAAATGTCCTCACTATAAAAAAAAAAAAGGAATTTTCATTATGTGGTGTGATGGAGGTGATACCGTGTTTTGCAATAAACGAGTGTATCAAATCAACAGGTTGTACACCTTAAACTTTCACAATGTTATATGTCAATTATATCTCAGTAAAGCCGAAAACATTATATAGGTTCTAGCCGGTACAATTAGGCAAGGAAGAGAAATCAGAGGCAAGGAAATTGGTGAGAAATAACTACCACCGTCTTTATTTGCAACATGATGGCCTATGTGAAAAATCTGACGGAATCTCTAAGACAGCCACAAGAATTAAGAAGCAAATTTTGCAAGGCTGCAGGATATAAGATCAATATATTTAGAAATCAATGTGTTTCTTTTTTTTTTTTTTTAGTTTTTTTTAACGTTTATTTATTTTTGAGACAGAGGGAGACAGAGCATGAACGGGAGAGGGGCAGAGAGAGAGGGAGACACAGAATCTGAAACAGGCTCCAGGCTCCGAGCTGTCAGCACAGAGCCCGACGCGGAGCTCGAACTCACGGACCGCGAGATCATGACCTGAGCCGAAGTCGGACGCTTAACCGACTGAGCCACCCAGGCGCCCCACGATTTTTTTAAAAAAAATTAATTTAATTTAATCTTCCTTCCAGGGCAGTCGATGTAGTGTTACAGCAGTTTCAGGTGTACATTATAGTGATTCGACAGTTCCAAACGTCACCCAGCGCTCGTCACGACAGACGCTTGTGTGGCCTTAAAAAGCCCTCTAGTCTGGCTAACCCTCAGTTCCCTCTCCGGGAAGCGGGAAGTGGGTGCAACACCTGCCTTGTGGGGTCATGGTGAGAAGGAAATGAGTTGGGCTTTGTGGTATGAGGGGTCGGGGGCTTGACACACATCAACTCCTTTTCCGTCTTAATTATTCTAGACCTGAGGTCAGAGTACCTGTCTCTCTCTGAGGGGCTGCCTCAGTCCCAACCCTTAACACTGGCAACAGCAAAGGGACCTTGCAGGACCTTTAGTTGGCCCCCCCCCCCGACCCTGTAATTGCTACCTGTCTCTGCTTCCAAGCTGTCCCCCACATAATATAGCTTCGTAAGGAAAATAGGCACTTTTTTCTCCAGCTTATAGGTAAGTCTGTCTAAAAGCACTGTTATGGGTTGTGTTGTGTCCCCTCATCCTCAACAACAAAACAAAACAAAACAAAACCAGGTATGTTGAAGTCCTAACTCGCATTATCTCACACTGTGCCCTATTTGGAAATAGGGTCTTTGCAGATGTAACCAAGTTAAGATGAGGCGTTTGGGGTGGGCCCTAATCCAGCATGCCTGGTGTCCTGCAAGGAGAGATCCGAACTCACACGGAGGGAAGAGGCTGTGAACAGGCAGGAAGAGCCACGTGAAGACAGAGGGTGGCAGCCACAGGCCAAGGGAGTCTGCCGGCCACCTCCAGAAGCCAGGGAGAGCCGAGGAGGGTTTGTCCCCAGTCTCCGCGAGAGCCCTTGTGGACACGCTGATCTCAGGCTTCCAGCCTTCAGGGCAGTGGGACAATAAATGTCCTTTTTAAAAAAAAAATTTTTTTTTAGTGTTTATTTACTTTTGAGAGAGAGAGTGTGCACGTGTGAGGGGGGAAGGGGCAGAGAGAGAGGGAGACACAGAATCTGAAGCAGGCTTCAGGCTCTGAGCTGTCAGCACAGAGCCAGATGTGGGGCTTGAACTCACAGACCATGAGATCATGACCTGATCCAAAGTCAGAGGCTTAACCGACTGAGCCACCCAGGAAGCTAACACAAGTACCTTAAAGTGCTGCTTTAATACCTCTACATACAACCAAGTGCAAGTCCCCTACCCGCCCCGCTCTGTGCTCCCTCAGTATCTGAGTGTCTTCCCCGCCCCCGCCCCCCCCCCGCCGGAGGGGGGGGGGGGGGCTGTGCAGCTGGATCTGCCCAGCCCCACCCAGACAAGCAGCTACCGGTTCCCCTGCATCCGGCTCCTTCCACCCCCACTCTCTGGTCCCAACCTGCTCTCACCTGCGAGGAACCCCCTCTCTCCTCACTGTCCAAAGGGGGAGACCCCGACCCTCCGGGAGCCCTCCTGGGCTCTGCAGTAGGTGGTCCCGTGGGATCCCACAGCCCCCTTGCACAGGAGGGTGCTGCCGGCCCAGTGCTTAGGCATGGAGACACCGAGGCTCACGGCAGTTGGGTAACCTGCCTGAAGACGGCCGGCTCATGAAGGGAGCGTCAAGAACCAGGCTCAGGGGTCACTCATCACCTTCCTCCGTGCGGTGCCCCAGGCCGGTGCCAGTGCCGCAAGCCGGCCCCTCCCCTGGGCTGCTGTCCTCCCTGAGGCCATCCCGGCAGGCCTGCAGGGCCGGCTGGACTCTCCCGCTGTCTTCAGGCATTCTTGCTAGAGAAGCAAGCTCCCTTCCTCGTGGTTCTGCTCAGGCAGGAGCCCCCCGCCCCGGGCTGGGATGGTCTTTTCCTGTTGAACACTGATTTACTGTGTTTCGCACTGAGCTTACTTACCCCAGGGAAAAACACGCTGGGAAGCAGAGAGCAGCAGCTTGTGAAGACAGAGCGTCCTCCGAGGTTCTTTCCTCCCCGCCCTCTTTTTAAAAATCGCTTATTCTGATGTTAGTCAATTGCATAAACATCCTATTAATTTTTTTCCATCCTCCATCATGTGCCCTGGAAACTTCACTGATAGCTGACTGGATCTCACTGGGGTGCACAGGGCACTGGGAGGTCGGGGGTCCAGTTGTGGCGTGTGTCCTCACTCCCTGTGTGAACTTGGGCAGGTCACCCTGATGCGGACGGTCCCGTCTACTGGGCGCTGCTCTGCCCTGGGCTCTCTGCACCGGTCACCTCACCCGTGCTCACAGGGTGTGGATGGATGTGCACAAATGGCTACAAGGGGTGTGGGAGCCCCACTAGCAAACGTGGGCGCTGAGGCTCAGAGAGGCTGAAGAACTCGAGCAATGCCACCCAGTGAGTAACATCAAGGCCGGGGTTTATGATGAGACCAGTCGACTCTGATTGTTTTCACCACACCGTGCTGGGTGCCCGTCTCCCCAGCTGTGAAATGGGGGAGCGGACCAGGTGGCGAGCTTTCTGGACACATGCCTCTACACTTGTCCCCTTAAAAATCCCTTCTTCATCCTGCAACCAGTGACCCTCTAAAGCATAAACCTGATCATAGTACTTGCACAATCTGCAGGGACCTTGTTTATTTGCTTACTCGTTTATCGCGTGTCTTCCCCCGAGGGCAGCGGGCAGTCTGTCCTCTCAGGGTCGAATCCCGGCACAGAGAACGGTGCCTGGTGACAGCAGGTGCCCGGGCCGTGGCGGCTTCTGCTGTTCAATTCGCACAGCGTGGTGGCCGGGTTGAGAGGTGGGAACCGGGCTGGGGTGGGAGGTGAGTCTGTAGGGCAAACTTGGCTGCCCTGGGTTGGCCTTGAAGTAGGTCCGGACCTCAAGTTTGCCCGGCTGATCATCATGATGAAGTTGGTGAAGTTAGCCTTTGGTTCTTGGGATGCCCCCTCTTGACTGCCAAACCAAGCCCCTCCCTGCCAGCTTATTTTCACCAGTGTCTTACTGATGAGCTATTTCTGTTTCTTCTCTATAGCTCTCTGTATTTTCATGAGATCTGAGTGGAACATAACGTGCTGGGGATCCAAAGGGATGCGGTGCTAATGGTGGAATTTTAGACATTGTGAAAGACTAGAGGAGACATATTTTGGGGCAGTTAGTGTCTAAGCAGGACCTCAAAGCCTTCCTGGTGTGCAGTGACTCACTCCAGATGGGGAAGAGATACGGCTGCTCCCTGGTCACCTGTTTCAGGAAGGGCGAGGCAGCTGTCTCACCCATGCTAATCGTCACTGTCTTCCTTCTCCCCGTTGTAGGATCGTGGTCATCTCTTCTGACTCACCCACCCCACACCCCTCGTTGGACCAGAATGGACCTGAAGCCCAGAGAGGGTAGGAACTTGCCAGAAGTCGCACAGCGCGACAAACGGCCTATGCTACATAGCCCTATCTTTCTGACTCCTGAAGCCCAGAGAGGGTAGGAACTTGCCGGAAGTTGCACAGCGCGACAAATGGCCTATGCTATGTAGCCCTGTCTTTCTGACTCCCAGTCTTTGTTCACCCAAGTGATTTTCAGTCTTATCATCGTAATAAAATCCAGTGTGCTTTTAGCGTTGTACTGGCCACTTTTCATGATAAATATTAAATTGATGTTTGTTGACCGAATAAGTGAAAAGGTGGGTCTATTCCTGTACAGAGAAGAAGCGGAGATAGAGTGGGGGGTGGGGGAGGGAGAGCCAGAGGAATCCTTGAAGAGAAGTGGGAAGCAGGATGGCTGTAGCTTTCAATTAACATCTTGCTTTGCAGACCGAGCTCTCCACAGGGTATCTGCTTCCTTTGGGTATTGGGTCTAGGATTGGGTCATCGGCCACGGGCTCAGGTCTCCAATCTCTACATGCTTGCACCGGCAGACCTTCCTCCCCGGCATCTCTTCACTCCGTAGAGGTCTGGTCCACGTCAAGTGTGGGACATAAGAGGGGATTCCGGCATTATCTTCCTGCTTGGGAAAGTAGGCACAGAGAAGCAGAGTGACTCTCCCCCAGGCCACACAGCAATTCCTGTCTTGCACTGCAGCCCCTAGAAACTACCTTGTCTGGAATTTTGGCCTTTCACATTCTCTCCCTGGGAGCAGGACCAGGTTAGAGGTGGTTTCAAGGACTGTGTGAAAACCTGCTCCACGCAAACGGTCCAGAGAAACTCGGGACAGAGGGAAATGTAACAGGACAGGCAAGTCCATCTGGTTCCTCTCTGGGCCCAACTCCTCATCCCTCAGGGTCCTCTCCCCTCAGGCAGATCCGTGATAAGCTAGAGAGTTTCTGGCAGGCTTGGGAGCCCGAGGGGGCCCTGCACACGGGTGACCCAAGCCCAGATATTACAAGGGAGGAACTGGGGTCATATTTCACTGGCCTGTATATCCTTTCTACAGCATCAGCGCTGACAGGCCTGTCGTGTGTCATGATGTGCTCCCCTGGGACTCCCCCCCCCCCCCACCCCAGCACCCGGCCACAGGAAGCCTGCGGAGGCCTGGCCTGATGACGCCTGCCCCGGTCCTGTCTGATGACGCCTGCTCTTCACGCTTGGCTGGATTTAGGACAGTCTGGGCATGGGGCCTGCTGACAGCTCAAGGTGGTGGCGTGGGACACCAGAGCCTAGAAGCAGAACCCCAACTCACATGCTGCAGTCACAGAGTGCGCATCTCGAGTAACATACGCTTATAAAGCCTTAGAGTCAGAGTGCTTTTTTGTTTTTCAATGTTGAGATGCACACAGGGGCCTCTGGAAGCACACCGAAGGGGCCCTACTCACCCTTGGGGAGCAAGGACGACTTCCAGGGCCAGTCACATGGGAGCCATTTAGTGGGTAACGTGTATTCTCATGTTAAATTTAGGCCAGCATTCAAGACTCTGAGCTCTGCACAGCTAAAATATAAAACAAGTCACGTATGTAATGTAAAATTTTCCAGTGGTGCCTGGGTGGCTCAGTCGGTTGAGCGTCCGACTTCGGCTCAGGTCATGATCTCAGTTCGTGGGTTCAAGCCCCACCTTGGGCTCTGTGCTGACAGCTCAGAGCCTGGAGCTTGCTTCGGATTCTGTGTGCGTCTCTCTCTCTGCCCCTCTCCCGCTCACACCCTCTCTCTCTCTCTCTCTCTCTCAAAAATAAACATTTAAAAAAAGTTAAGGGGTGCCTGGGTGGCTCAGTCGGTTAGGCGTCTGACTTCAGCTCAGGTCATGATCTCACGATTCGTGAGTTTGAGCCCCACATCGGGCTCTGTGCTGACAGCTCGGAGCCTGGGGCCTGCTTCGGATTCTGTGTCTCCCTCTCTCTCTGGCCCTTCCCCTCTAGAGCTCTCTCTCTCTCTCTCAAAAATAAATAAACATTAAAAAAATTAAGTAAATAAATAAATAAAGTTAAAAAAATAAGTAGAATTTTTGAGCAGCTACATTTTAAAAAGTAAAAAGAAACAAGCGGAATTAATTTGATGATTTTATTGAACTCAATATGCCCAATATATTTTTATTTCACCGTGTAACCAATATGAAAACTGTTAACAGTTATTACATTTTTTAAGGTGCTCACTCTTCAGAATCTGGTGTGTATTTTATACTTAAAGTATATCTCAGTTTGAATTCTACGTTTCCAACTGAAATACTTGATCAGTGTTTACATTTCACACAATTTACAGCAGCAAAGTATCCATGTTGTTCTAAACATACTCAAAAGTTTTCCAATAAGTGAATTGAGTATTGGTTTTTAAATTTACAGCAAATTTTTTTTTAATTTTTTTTCAACGTTTTTTATTTATTTTTGGGACAGAGAGAGACAGAGTATGAACGGGGGAGGGGCAGAGAGAGAGGGAGACACAGAATCGGAAACAGGCTCCAGGCTCCGAGCCATCAGCCCAAAGCCAGACGCGGGGCTCGAACTCCCAGACCGCGAGATCGTGACCTGGCTGAAGTCGGACGCTTAACCGACTGCGCCACCCAGGCGCCCCTAAATTTACAGTAAATTTTAAATGTAAATGCATCAAAATTAGTTTTTTTTTTTAAAAATCAAAATTAAAAAATTAAAACGGAAGTTTCGGTTCCTTAGTCACTGTAGCCGCATTTCAAATGCTCGGTGGCCGCTTCTGGCTGGTGGCTGCCTCATGGGACAGCGCAGGGAGAGTGCCACCTCCGCCCAGCGCTCATCTCCCCTTCCCTCCACCTCCCCTGCATGTGCCTGGGGACCCGCCCTCCTGTCCCGTCATAGAGATGCTCCCTCTCCTCCCTTCCACATGGATAAGCCCTCTTCCCAGACCCCACCGGGGTCACCCCCACCAGCAGGGAGTGTGATACAAGACCCTCACCCTGATAGTCCCTGACTGTCACTGTCATTTCCTGTCTCGAAGCCTGTGAGGGCTGTCTGTCATCACCCGGAAAGTTGGCAGGAGAGCTGGGACCGAAAGTTCCCTTCCCTTTTCCCAGATCTCCCCCCACATCCCCTTTCCTGCATCCTCCTGGAGCCTGGCCAGACAACAGGAGGTAGGTATGGCCACGATGCTCTAAGACCTAAGGCTGGGCATTCTCCCTGATTCCCTTATCTAGGGCTTTCCAGCCTTGCCCGCAGAGCGGATGGCCCACACAGCTTGCTCGCCTCCTCCAGAAGGCTGAACGTAGGAGCAGAACAATGGAGGGTACCGTGGGGGCTCACAGGAGGCATGAGGCTCAGCCAGGGAGGTATGGCCGTTACCCCAGGACAGCCTCTTTGGACCTCAGTCTTTCCATCTGCCCAACGGGAGCTTCTCATTCTTTTAAAGAGGTGACCTGCGAGAGGGACAGCAGGGTGGCTTGCCAAATCCAGGACATGCTTGCAGCTGTCTCCATGGACACCAGGAGCATCTGCTCAGCCACGCCCCAGGTGTCCCATTCAACCCAGATGGGAGCTGAGGCCCTTCTGTTGTGCTCCCACCTCACCACCAGCTCCTCCCCTGTCCATTCCCCATCCAAAAAGGACCAACTCTCTCTGTCCCTGTTTCTTCCCCTTGGGGGACTTTCCCCCCCATTCTGGCCTATGAGCTTATATGATGTCCTACCAGCTCCAAACAGTGAACGGGCCGGTGTCTCTGAGCCTTTCAAGAAAAGTCACTTTCCCTCTGTCTTCTGTGGGAAGACAGACGTATCTATAACAATAGATTTGTAGGGGCGCCTGGGTGGCGCCGTCGGTTAAGCGTCCGACTTCAGCCAGGTCACGATCTCGCGGTCCGTGGGTTCGAGCCCCGCGTCGGGCTCTGGGCTGATGGCTCGGAGCCTGGAGCCTGTTTCCGATTCTGTGTCTCCCTCTCTCTCTGCCCCTCCCCCGTTCGTGCTCTGTCTCTCTCTGTCCCAAAAATAAATAAACGTTGAAAAACAAACAAACAAACAAACAAACACTAGATTTGTTAGCTGGGCATTTCCCAGCTGGACAGGACTACCTCATCCCTGGCTGAGGCCTCTATCTGGCCCGTCCCTCCTCCCAGAGTGACACAAGCATGTCAAGAGGGGGAAATGGAGGAACATAGCATAATGTCTGGCACATATCGGGGGCCTGATAAGTGGAAAGAGGGCATAGACCTGGTCTCCTTTGAGTAGCTCAGCGGTCCCTGTCCTCAGCACGGAGCCTTTGGGCATAGACCGGAAAGGTGACAGAAGGATCCAGGGAGGGAGGCAGAACCTGGGTGGTGTCTCTGACATCACTGTTGAGTGGGTGATTGGATCTTCCCAGAGCCAAGGCCAGTCCTGCCAAGGAGCCCGGAGCCACCTGTCCACGGGGACCGCTGGCTGTAGCCCTTGCCAACGGGGTGCCCAACACCCCCTGGAGGGGGACACTGCTCCCAGGCAGGAGCCCTGGAGCGCTTATTCGCCAGCCACTGGGATTGCAAGTAGTTTGCTAGAGGCATAAATTTGCCCGCCGTGTTTCGTTCTTTTTAAAGTTTTATTTGTTCTGGGTGGGGAAAAGATAACCCATAATGTCATCACTTCTTTTTTTGGATTATGTAAAACAGGATGTGTTCATTCTCTCTTAGTGTTGTCCTTGCCCAGCCGACAACCAGCCTCCTAATCTCCATGAGCAGCTTCAGGGGGCCCTTTCAAACCAAATCCCCAGATTACACGGACGCGTCATTGATAGCGACATGGCTCAAATATGTACTTTTTTTTTTTTTTAATTTTTTTTTTCAACGTTTATTTATTTTTAGACAGAGAGAGACAGAGCATGAACGGGGGAGGGGCAGAGAGAGAGGGAGACACAGAATCGGAAACAGGCTCCAGGCTCCGAGCCATCAGCCCAGAGCCCGACGCGGGGCTCGAACTCACGGACCGCGAGATCGTGACCTGGCTGAAGTCGGACGCTTAACCGACTGCGCCACCCAGGCGCCCCTCAAATATGTACTTTTAAGCACAAAATGGGTACGCACGCTTTAGATCGGGACGCAGTCTGTGTGCCCACCTAACGTGATCACGCTGACGTTGTGAGGTCACCACACAAAGATCTACATCGCTCCTCGCGACGCCCACCTAGAGGCCTGGGTGACAGTGAGGACAGTGCCGTGACTTGTGTGCCCGCCACTAGGAAGGAGGGCGGGCAGGGTGTGCAGATGGGC